CCCACCCCCCGCTCGGCATGCAGAAAACACAAAATCGAAATGCAGGAACGGCGGTGCTGCTTCTGAGCTGCGCCCTAGGCCGGTTCCCCGACCTCGATGGGTCTGGGATTCTTTGCCTGTAAAATGAAGGTGATGATGGTACCTGCCCCATGGGCTGTTGTGAGGATTAAACCAGTTGACACATGAAATTGCATGCCCAGGATGAGGCCTGGCCCAGAGCGAGAGCTGCCTAAGGATCAGCTGTTATTTCTATTAATGCCTGAACTCCAGAAACTGCCCTGGGCTCTAGGAGGAAGCAAGTGGGAATTTGTAAAGCTTTGGGCGCTGGTGGAAGGTTCTGAGTGACTTGCCACAAAATATGCTTGGGGGGTTCCTGGAGCAGCAGGGAAAGTCTGAATTACAGATGCACAAATATTTTAAAACAAATATGTGACACAGTAATGTATGTGCTTTTTTTTCTTTTGAGCTTTTACATTTGAGTTTATTCTTCACTTAACTTTTAAAACACTACTATAGTTGAATTATATGCTGCTTTCTTTTCAATGACAATTTACATTCAAGATATATATATTTAAACCTCACCTGAGGATTTTCCCCCCATTGCTTTTCAGAGAGTGTGGAAGGGAGGGAGGGAGGGAGAGAAACATGATGTGAAAGATGTGCATGGATTGGTTGCCTCCTGCATGCACCCCTATGGGGCCAGATTGAGCCTGGAATCCAGCCTGCAACCGAGCTATGTGCCCTTGGTCACAATCGAACCCGGGACCCTTCAGTCCGCCAACTGATGCTCTAACCACTGAACAACCCAGCTAGGGCTACGTTCAATATTATTTTGCATTAGTTTCAGGTGTACAACATAGTATGTTCTTCTTTCTTGATGCATTAAATTCAAGACCTAGTGACAGGTCCAAAATTATGGTAATTTAGAAGTTTTGATGAGTGCGTAGATGTTTGGGAGTCCTGCGGTGACTGTATGGGATTTGAAAACACCTGTGGTTTCTTCTCATGACAAAGCCAGGCTGCTGATAGTCCCCTGGTCTGTTCCCATCCGTCCCCCGGCTCGTCCGTGTCCCCCCACCCCGACTGAGAGACTGCTAAATTGCAATTACATCAGCAGTTCTCAGTCTTCAGCCCCCTTTTTTTTTTTGGTTTGTTTTTAAGTTTAAAGTGAAAGAGAGTTTCTTAGTGAAGCAGCGGGACAGAGAGAAGGCTACTGACAGGCAGCCAAACTCTACCCACTTACAAATAATCGAGGACCCCGAAGAGCTTTTGTATATTTGGGTACTAATATTAATATTGACCAACTAAACTATGCTGTACACCTGAAACTAATATATTATCGTATGTCAACTATAATTTAAATTTTGAAATAAAAATAAAGAAAGGAAACTGAAAAGTTTAAAAACATAAGAACACACATGCGTAGGTTCCATTAGCACTGGTCAGATAGGCTTTGGAGAGTGAAATGGACAAACACATATTATTATTATTATGAAATAGTTTTGACCTCATTAACCCTCTGAAACAGGTCTTGGGGACTCACAGGGTTTCCCAAGCTACATTTTGAGGACTGCTGAGTTAAAGGATAGTAAAAGCAAAGAGGTCGCCCGGGCCAGCATGCTCAGTGTTTAGAGCATCAGCCAGTGCACCCCAGGGTCTCAGGTTCCATTACCAGTTAAGGGCATGTACTTGGGTTGCCCGTTCATTCCCTGCCCCAGGGTGCATGTGTGTCTCTACCCCTCCCTCATCCCTCCCACTCTCTCTAATGAAA